AACACTAATTTCCATTTCAAACACATTTTGAAGAACTGTTCATATATAATACTTATTAAACGTTTTGAAATCGTTTAAATATACAAAAATGATTTTAGTTAAAATATATGTTGCCAACCATAAATATATGAACATAAAAATATACATGTCTATCAATGTCAAAATATTGAAAGACATCTTAAGTAAAATACCAGCAAAATTAGAACAAATGTTTTTTCCCCCAGTTAAAGCAATCTTAGGAACGGTTCCACAATATTGGGTTCAATTTGTTATTAAGAAAATCTTGTATAACTCAGTTTTTTACATTGAAGGTACAACGTCTTAATATATTTTTGAAGCATATCATTTATAAAATTACAAAAATTAATATCTGCTATCTATTAGCACAATTATAATTTCATTTATTTCTAAATATTATATTGTTCAGTATAGAATTTCTTTTAAGAACAGATTCTTTAGTTTCGTGCTACATATATACAAGAAAATTAAAAAAAAATCATTTTATCTAGTGGGAAAATGGTGCGATTTTAGGGAGAATCTCCGTTTGTACGTATGCACTGCTGAGTTCTTTAAATGCTAAATGCTTCATATGTCATTTATATATCAAAAGTTTCTTTTTAGTAGATACATTTATATATGAAAGGATACTCAAGCAACTGATGATTAACGAATCAACTAACACCATCCTTTCATTAAATCATATTTTTCCTAAACCGTCATACAAAAACATTCATCCGTGTTTATATATGCATCCGAAATAAATGTTTAATGAAAAGTATTTCAAAATGCTACAACATTAGTGTCTATATGGCTTACTTTTATTTGAAAAGATTTGTTAATAAAAAAAAATATAAACGAAGTCCGAAGTACCCTGAAAATTCATTGCTTAATGCTATTTATGGACTAATTTGATACAGGTCGTTTCTGTTCAAAAATTAAAGTAAATAAAATGTCACCATCAATGACTATATTCTGGACTGCTTTTAATTTCAACAAAACTGTTGTACATTTTATATTAACATAGAAATCAATGAATTATTAAAACAGGATTTCGATAATTATATTGTCTCGAGCAATAAAACTATAACGTAATATCTTAAATTGTATAATGTGACGCCAGCAGAACAATTATTGTGAATATATTTGAGCTCATTTTCCTATACAGAAAAGTTACGATTCGTATCAATGAATCCAAGCTTGGAAGCAAATATTTAGTGCTTGAATCTTTTAGATATTACGGGAACGTCAATTAATTGAAAACGCTCACGTTATAAAATAAGGCATGTGTGTAAGAAGGAATCGGGGGACTCCTTGTATAAGACAGCGGGAAGTTCCGAGGAACAATTTTAGTAATTATAAATTTTAAAAATCAAAATTTTTAAGAGAAAGCACAGAAAGAGGGACATTTTTCCCATGGACCCAGTTTTCCATGGATTATGAAATATTTTTGACGAGCACACTTTAGGGGGTTCATTAGCCACCAAGGGCGTAACCATGTATTTAGTTTACAAAATTGCTTCCACTCTCAAATTATCATTTTGAACAAAATGCGTTCGCACTTATATAGAATTTAAAAGATCTTATTTTTAATATTCATCAACGTTAGAGCAATTAAATTTTCATTCTAAAATTTTAACACGACAAATGCTAAACACTTAATTAACAAACAATTAATTTTATTTGAATTATAAAAGCAAATTTGAATTTATTATATGTATATTATCTGTATTTTAACAGTAGGTAGTTCCTTAATAATACAATTTAATTTGATTTGTTAACTACAATATATAATTGTCTATAAATGAAAATATTAGAACGTTAGCAGCCAATCAAAATTTTTGAACTTATCACTAAGAAATATACAATACAAAGGTGAAAAGAAATGCCAAATGTATAAAAGATAAGAATAATTTCATGTCCAATTAGAGAAAATACATTAACACACGTTATGTATAGGTAAGTTCTATAATAACATTTAAAAATTATGTATTTTTATATAAATCATAAGTTGTAATAAAAAATTTTTTATAATACATTAATAATTATTAATATTTAAATATATGTATATATATATGTATATATACATTTAATAAACATATATGTAAAAAACTGTTTTTGGGAGTCTTAACGTTATTCCTTGGTCTTAAAAGAGAGATGCAAAATTAGAACCACAAAAATAGGGGCACTATGGCAACAACTAAGTCGGATATTTAAACTAATGAAACAATGAAATAAATGAACTCTTTACACCTAACTTCTGAAATTTAATAAGTCTATTAAAGGCGGAGTTACATGATTATTAACGATAAACCTATTATTGGTCAGTTTTAGTAATTTTGTGAATGTCCGCAAATATGAAGTTGTTGAATAAGATTAACGAAGTATATGTGAAAGAAATTTCGAAAAAAAATCCCCTAAACGAACATAATTATTTATCTCAATATAAAAAATTAAGGTTTTAAATTGAAAAAAAAAATATGATTGATTTAAGTTTTTATTATTCGATAACAAATTGTCTAATTTTAAATTTAATTAATCGACATAATATGAATAAATTCGGATATTTGAATTTTTTCTGTCATATCCCGTATATATCTTAATTCAGTCGATATATATTTTAATTCAAAAATAATTTATAAACTAATTCGCTAATCAAATGATATTCAAACAAATGTACTCGTGTATAAATATCATTACGTGACTTAATGTTAAAAGAATTACAAGGAACATTACTTTAAAAATATAAGGTTGGTATCAATTTTTCTTAAGGTTTTATAATAAATTGTATTATAAATTGTCAATTATAAATTTTTTGTTAAAATTGTTTCTAGAGATATCACAAATGTGTACATAAAAGTCTAATATACTGCTACTAGTTAATATTTAAAAATATTCAAGTTTGCATTGAATACTTCTACTTTGTATTATGTATTATTCAATATTGGAGTTTTGTGAATTTACTGTGTAAGTTCCATAACAAATTCACTTATTCTGTTACATTAGAATTCAACCATAAACCAGCTGAAGAACGATTGAATTAATTAATTATTTTTTAAATCTTCAAATTTAGTACTATACTTTTTGTAGAGATATTTTTGAAGTATCAATTGTTTTATTAAAATATATATTAACTACATATGTTAACCTATTGTTTTAAACTTTAAATTGTATAAGATTAAAAATGTGATAAATTATGAAAAACAATTAAATGGTACTACTAATTATTTTATTTAAATATAAATAAACTATTTACGTTAACCAATTATTTTAAATTGTAATTTTTATAAGATAACCAAGGAACGATAACAATAAATTTTCTGGCAAATTTAAATAACTGGTGAATAAAAGTACCGATACGTTTGACATTTCTAAAGAAAATTTGTAGTTTCACAAATAGAGGTTTTTTGAACAGTAGTAAACTACAACAACACTACATTTTATTCTGTTTGTAAAGGCATTATCTGTTCCATGACTTATATAATCATTACTATGTATAGAACCTAATCTAGAAACGTAACGATGAGAAAGTCATATTACTGTTACTCCACGAGTCGTACGGGCGATACTAATATTGAATATATTAGTATATATAATATCAGTTGTATATAATATAAATTGAATATAAGTTGTAATTTAACGTCAAATTTTTAATAGAAACTAGTATATTTCATATGTATATACAACTATGATCAGATAAATCTTATCAAATTCGCCCTCTATTTATAAGAGAACAAGTATTACATTATAATTTTGACGTAAAATCAAAATAATTACTACAACTGCCGGCAGTCCTAAATTTTTACGTTTCATCATTTCAACTATAAATGTATTTATGAAAGAGTATTTTTTTTTTAATTTTTATTAGAGAAACCCCCACTAAAAATGCACAAAATTCATAAGAAACTGATGTA